AGGCTCCTCAGGGTCTGCAGCTTCCTCAGGGAGGGCAGCTCCGACCTCTGCTCTGTGTGAGCAGGGACAGCACCCAGGGAATGGCTGGAGCTGTGCCAGGGGAGAGTTGGGATGGATATTGGGAAAGGTTCTTCCCCCAGAGGGTGGTTGGCACTGCCCAGGCTCCCCAGGGCAGTGGGCACGGCCCCAAGGCTGCCAGAGCTCCAGGAGGGTTTGGACAATGCTCTGAGGGACAGGGAGGGATTTTGGGTGTCCTGGGCAGGGCCAGGGGTTGGGCTGGATGATCCTGGTGAGTCCCTTCCCACTCAGGATATTTTATTCTATGATTCTATGGATTTGAGTGCAGAAGATGGGGAGGTTGCTGAGTGGAGGTGAAGGTGGAGTGTGGTGGGGCTGGGACTGCAGGAGGATGAAATATTGTAATCTGTAGGAAGCTCAGGGGGTCTGTGGGACACTCAGGGGGTCTGTGGGACACTCAGGGGTTCTGTAGGACACTGTGGGTCTGTAGGACAGTCCATGGGTCTGTAAGATGGTCAGAGGTCTGTAGGACACTCTTTGGGTCTGTAGGACACTCAGTGGTTCTTTAGGGTGATTGGGGGGTCTGTAGGACACTCAGTGTGTCTGTAGGACAGTCAAGGGGTCTGTAGGACAGTCAGGAGGTCTGTGGGACACTCAGAGGATCTGTGGGACACTCAGTGTGTCTGTAGAACACTCAGGGGGTCTGTAGGACACTCAGGGGGTCTGTAGGGCAGTCAGGGGGTCTGTAGGACACTCAGGAGTTCTGTGAAACACTCAGGGGGTCTGTAGGACACTCAGGGGGTCTGTAGGGCAGTCAGGGGGTCTGTAGGACACTCAGGAGTTCTGTGAAACACTCAGGGGGTCTGTAGGACACTCAGGGGGTCTGTAGGACACTCAGGGGGTCTGTGGGACACTCAGGGGGTCTGTGAGACACTCAGGGGGTCTGTGGGACACTCAGGGGGTCTGTGGGACACTCAGGGGGTCTGTGGGACACTCAGGGGGTCTGTGGGACACTCAGGGGGTCTGTAGGACAGTCAGAAGGTCTGTGGGACACTCCTGGGCTCTGCTCCCTGGGCTCCCACGCAGCAGAGGGGCTGCTGTGCCACTCTGGCAGCCTGGGAGCAGTGAGCAGGAGAAAGAGTCCTCCCCATGTCTGCTGAGGGACCTGCCAGCTGCCCCGGGTGTCCCAGGGTGGCAGGGACACCACCCAGCTCGTGTGCCTTGCTGAGCAACCCCTGTGTGTGCTGAGGGGGTTTGGAGCTCAGCTGGGTCATTCCCATCCCACACCTCCTCGCTCCCTCCATGGGCACAGCCAGAGGGGTGAAATAACCCCCCATCCTTCCCTCTCCCAGCCTCCCACCATGGAGGATTCCTGTGACGACCCTCCCACCTCTGCCGTGCTCCTGGACAGCTGCCACTTCTCCCACGTGCTTTTCAACGACGTGCAGAAGTTTTATGTCCCTGGAGGAGACGTGACCTGTCACTACACCCTCACCCAGAACATCACTGCCCGTGGCAAGGACTGGGTGGGCATCTTCAGGGTGAGTGGGTGCTGGGAGAAGGGATGTGCTGGGCATGGGGTGTGCTGGGAGAAGGGGTGTGCTGGGAGAAGGGGTGTGCTGGGCATGGGGTGTGCTGGGAGAAGGGGTGTGCTGGGAGAAGGGGTGTGCTGGGCATGGGGAAGGAGCAGGAGGCAGGAACAAAGAGCTTGGACTTTGTCACGACGAGGGTGGGGAATTTTTTTCATTAATAACTTTGTGTAATGGGGACTTTGTCACAACAAGGGTGGGGGATTTTTTTCAGTAATAACTCTGTGTGATGTCCCCCCGTGCCAAGGGACAAAGTGTGACCTGAACAGGTTCAGGGCTAATCAGCCACTCAGATCAAGTGTCCAAGGCCAGGTTGGACGGGGCTTGGAGCAACGTGGGGCAGTGGAAGGTGTCCCTGCCCATGGAATTCATTCCTGTTTGGAACAAGATGATCTTTAAGGTCCTCCCAACCCAAACTGTTCTGTGATTCCATAATTATCCTTTCATGCACAGACCACGACCCTTAAAAATCAGGATATCCAGGCAAAAAACCTCCCAGTAACTGATCCAGGTGGAAGTAAAGCCCCGTTTCCGTGGGATAAACCCGAGGGATGCCACGTGACAATTTTCCTGTTGCAGGTGGGGTGGAAGACAACCCGGGAATATTACACCTTCATGTGGGCCCCCCTGCCTGCTGCTGGCCACGGGGACACTGCTGTGCAGCAGAAGATCCAGTTCAAAGGTGAGCTGGGAGCTTGGATCCCTCTGGGAATGTGTGTGTGCCCTTTGCTGTCACCAATAAACACAGCATTTGGAATTCCAGGATAGCTGGGGGACTGTGGTTTGGGAGCCTTCTTTCAAATCCCCTCATAAATCATAAGACCTTGAATCTGCTGAATTCCACCCTCCTGGCTGGGTGATGTTTGTGCTGTTGCCCCTGGCACAAGGAATTGCTGACACTGCAGGAATTACTGAGCTGGCATGTGGGAGCTTCCCAAGCTTCTCACTGTCTGTGCTGTAATTAAGAGGCCTGAACAATTAAAAGCTGTGTGTGACGAGGCTGTTGTGTTTGTCTGAAGCTTACTACCTGCCCAAAGATGATGAGTACTACCAGTTCTGCTACGTGGACCAGGATGGGATGGTCAGGGGGGCCAGTGTCCCTTTCCAGTTCCGGGCAGAGGCTGAGGATGACATCCTGGTGGTCACCACACAGGTCTGTGTCCTCTCTCCCCTGCTTTTCACTGCCTCAGCTTTTATTGACCCATGCTTAACATCCCACAGCTCCCATGCCAAGCTGCAGCTCAGCAGACTTGGATTCTATTCTTGGCTTTGCTGCTCAGCAGTCACACAGATCTGAGCCTTTGTTTCTCCTCCTACCGTTTGCCACCTGAATCCTGAGCTCCAGGGACTCAGTACTGAGCATTTCGGGGCATTTTGGGTGTTTTGGAATGAAAATGGGGTTTGCATGGGACCAGCCTGCCAACAGAGGGGAGTAAAGGGCCTGCATGTGGACAAGAATGGGACGTGGACAGGCAGGAACAGCTTCAAACTGGCAGAGGGGGGGTTTGGATGAGTTGTGAGGGAGAAATTCTTCGCTGTGAGGGGGCCCTGGCACAGCTTACCCAGAGCAGCTGGGGCTGCCCCAGCCCTGGAAGTGTCCAAGGCCAGGTTGGACGGGGCTTGGAGCAACCAGGGGGTGGGACTGGATGGGCTTTAAGGTGCTTCCAGCCCAGCTCCTCCTGATTCCACGACTCTGATGACTGAGGGGCTGTGAAGCCAATCACTCTTATATTTCAGTGTCTTGTGTGCAGCCCTTTGGTTCCTGACTGCACACAGAGCCCTGACCCAGCCAAACAGCCCCAAAGCTCTGCCCTCTGCAGCCACAGGAGGCTCTGAGCATCCCCAGAGCTCAGGGTGTGCTCAGTGTCCAGGAACTGGGCCATGGGCAGCTCTGGGCACCGGCTGGGGGTGAGGAGAGCTCAGGTCAGGGCAGCACACGCCGTTCCCTCTGCCCAGCTCAGCTTTCCCTGCTCTCCACTCCCTGCTGTACCCTCTGGAACGTGTGGCTTTTCTGCTGTGACCAAACAACTGTGTCTCCTGCCAGGGGGAGGTGGAAGAGATCGAACTGCAGAACAAAAACCTGCGTCAGGAAAACGAGGAGCTGAAGGCGAGTTGTGCAAACCTCCAGCAGCAGAACCTGGAGCTGCAGGAGGAGCTCAAGAAGACACAGGTGAACCAAAAAGTTCATGTATTAGGGCAGAAGCTTTAAGTCTGAAAGATGACGAGGAACCGAGTGAAGTCTTGTCCCACTGAGTGCTTCCAGGAGAAAACTGGAAGGGTTTTGTCCCCATGTGATCTGTTTAATCCTTTACCAAATCACACAACTGTGATAAAAACAATGATGGTGAAAAGAGGCATCTGCACACCCAGGAGCTGGGAACATATGGGAAGGAAGGGGAGTGTTCAACAATGCTTTATAGGCTGAAAAATCACGTGGCAATTATCTTTTCCTCCTTCACTTTTGCTCAGGGCTTAATACAAATGAAAAGGGTCTGAAAGAGGATGCAAAGGAGGGATTTTCCTCCTTACATGAGCTGCCTGGCACTGCTGCACTGGAGGGGCTTTACAGGGCCAATGCAGAGCAGGATTGTTGCTTGGGTCCCCTTTCCCTCCTGTCAACCTCCCTGGGATTTTTCAGGAGCTGCAGAAAAGTTTGGAGTCTTTAAGGAGCAACACAGAGAAACTGGAGCTGGAGCTGAACTCCCTGAAAATGGAGAATAAGCACCTGAAGGAGCAGGGTGACTGCACAGGGGCAGAGCTGCAGCAGTAAGTGCATTTACAGCTCGTTCCCAGGCAGGATTTCCCAGCTCAGTTCCCTCCTGTGAAAGCCTGTGGTGTGTTTTGCTCTGTCCTGGGCAGACTCAAAGAGCAGATCCAGAGCGTGACCTCGGAGAAGGAGCGCCTGGAAACCAGGCTGAGAACTGCCCTGGATCACATGGACCAGCTGCAGGTACCAACCCTCCTCTGCTCCTCTGGGCTGTTCCTGCTGGAGTCCCTTCCCTCCTGCCACAGCTGAGGGCTCCCGAGCCAGGGCAGGAGGTTCCTTTTTGCTGACACGAGTTCCTGAGGAAAATGTCAACCCTCGATGTGACTGAACCTCCAGAAGTCTCTTCTAAGGGACCATGGAGGGGGATGTGCTGAGAGAAGCTGTAGGGATTTTATTCCCTAAAAACACCCCCTTTCTGTGTTCATCAAGTGACCAAGCCCAGAGTGTTGTTTCCCTCCTGCCAGCCGAGGATCCAGGCAGAAAACACTCCTGTTTGGAAAAACAGCCTGAAATTGTGTTCAGGTCTTGGGTGAAAACAAGACTGGGAGAATGTATTCTAAAATGTATTCTAAAAATAGTTTGGACTGGGACATGGGAGACCAGAACAACGGGATAAACCCTCTGGCTGTGGAGTCTCTGTTTTTAATTTGTTCCCCAACTCCCCAACTAAAAATGTCGTGTCGAAGCTTAGAAAGCTCCTCAGAGATCAGGTGAGCAAACAAATCTTCTTTTTTCCTCAGTCCCAAGTGTTGAACTATGAGAAAGAAGTGGAAAACTTGTCTCACATGGACCAGGAGAAGACAGAGCAGCTGGAAACCTTAAAGGAGGAGAATCAGCAGCTACGCTTGAGCACGGCCCAGCAGGTAAAGCCCAGCTCAAAGGTAAAGCCCAGCTCAAAGGTAAAGCCCAGCCCAGCAGGTAAAGCCTTTCCTGACCATCTCAGTGCCCCAGGGAGCACAGGTGGAGGGGCTGTGGCAGGGAGCAGGTGTAAATATTGCTCAGCCTGAGGAGAATCCGAGGAATTCCAGGATTAAAAGTGCCCGTGGGCGTGTTCTGTGCACACACAATCCCTCAGATCCTCACAGTCCACAGGTGCTTTGATGATACATAAGAATACCACCCACACAGGGTTTAGTTTTGGCAGAAACCCCTTCTCCAAGCAGGCACTGTGATTCTGGTCCTCTGCCTCGGTGCATCCTGAGCCAGCTCCAGGGGTGAGGGGAATCCGGGGCACCTTGGGGTTGATATTTGCTGGATAGAGTGTTGCAGAATTGTTGCAACAAAGCAAAATTGTTTCAGGACTCGGATTTAGGGGTAAATGAAAGAAGTTACCCTAAATCTGCCCCAGATTCTGTGCCTTTTGCCTCCCACAGGAGGCTGGCCAGTAATTTCTCTCCTTCTGTCCCCTTCCCCTTACTTTTACCCTTTTCTTTTTGTCTCTTTCTCACCTCTAACATCCCAAAATTGCCATTTAATAATCACCAAAACAGATGCCACGTGCTCAGAGGGCACCAGAATGAGCCACAAAGAACACGAAGTTCCTGCTGTGCAGTTTGAGGCTCTGCCCCTCCGGGCCCCCCTGACACTCCTGGAAGGAATGGGAAGGATCCAAAGGCAAAGGGCAGCGTCCTGTGGCATTTCTTTCCCAAAGAAAAACCCATGCCTGGCATTTCTTTCCCAAAAAAACCCACCTTTGCAAAGCCTGAGGCCAGCACATCCCCTCCAGCCCGGTGTCCCGAGTGACCTTCCCGAGGTGCTTCTCTCTCCCCCTGTGCTCCTCAGGAAGTTTTGGAGGCTCCCCTCCAATTTTGGCACCGAGAACCAGATGCCTAAAATAGGTGATGTGATTACCTCTGCTGGGATGCCAAATGCCTGGGATTCTCACAGGGATGCTTTGGGAGTGACTGCAGAGTCCCTGAATACTCGTTTGCTGGTTTAATTCAAGAGTCAGCTGAAGAGAATTCCTCAGGATGTCCTGGCTGTCCGTGGAGGTCTCACAGCTCCAGGAATCCTGCAGGCTGGGGTAGATCCCGCCTGCCAGGGTGGATTTCTCAGCAGTTTGGGTTCCTTTTCTTCATCCTCCCCTCTCTGTCTGACCTGTCTGCTTCCCCTTCCTGTGTCACCTGAGAACAAGTGAGTGGTGACATGGAGATATCCCGAGGGACAAACTCTGGGATGGAAACACTCCCACTGAAGGGGGAAGGTTATTTGTGGGTAATAAATGCAGCCTGAGGCAGCAAGTGTGTGACAGCTCCAGCTTGGGGCTGCCACCCTTGGATTTGCCATTTGCCCCTGATTTACCAACCCCTTCCCTTCCCCAGCAACACGACCTGATGAAAGAGCTGGAGGAGCAGAAACATTTGTTTCAGGTCCTGCAGGCAGAGAAGGATGAAGCTGATGAGGAAAGTCAGGTGAGACCTTGGCACAGCTCCCTCACCTTCCTCCTGAGGGGAAGGTGACACTGCTCTCCCAGTCTGGTGTCCAGTTCCATTAACCCTCCCTCAAACACTGTGCCCATCACCCCCAGCCAGGCTGCTGCAGGCACCCCCAGCTGCCTGTGTGCCCACACTCCTCCTCCCCACCCCATAGGCTGCTTCAGCCCCAATAACGTGGGATGTTTAAAATCTCCTGATGTTTGTTGAGTTCTGATGCCTCTGGAGTGAGTGGAGTTGCTCCTTTAAAGGGACATGGCCTTTGGTCCAGGCTAAGCAAGGGCTGCCCAGTTTTGTTCCTCACTCTGAGTGACTTCAGGACAGTCTTCTGTCTTTTAAAGTGTGTTGCTCTGCTGTGATCATCCCATCTGCCTTTGTGAGGCCACAGAATAGGTGGAATTATGGAATGGTTTGGGTTGGAAGGGACTTTAAACTCAGCCAGTGCCACCCCCTGCCTTGGCAGGGACACCTTCCACTCTCCCAGGTTGCTCCAAGCCCTGTCCAGCCTGGCCTTGGACACTTCCAGGGATCCAGGGGCAACCACAGCTTCCCTGGGAAATGCATCCCAGCCCCTGCCCACCCTCCCAGGGTGGAATTTCCCCCCAGTATCCCAGCTGACCCTGCCCTCAGGAGTGGAGCCGTTCCCTGTGTCCTGTCCCTGGTGACCCTTCCCCTCCTCACCTCCCCTTTGCTCAGCAGGACCCACACTGAGCTCCCTCACACTTCAGGGAACTGAGGTTCTCATGTCAGAGGGGCTGTGCTGGGGCAAAACAGGCCTTTTTTCCCCGAGAACTAACAGTGTCCCCGTGTCCCTGTGCAGAAGCTGCGGGCTGAGAACAGCGCTCTCCTCAGGCACCTCTCGCAGGCCACCGAGCTCTCCCCCCTCTCTGCCCTTCCCCGAGCTCCAGCTGCAGCTCCAGCTCCTGGAGCAGGAGACCTTCTCTTTGGAAATCCATACAGTGGTGAGATTCCTTGGCATTCTGGCTGAAACCACGGACCTGTGGCAGTTAAACCCCAGCCCTCCCTGTCCGGCTGAGGGCTGCAGAAAAGCCATTTCCAGCAGCACCTCTGCTGTGTGCAGAGGACTTGGCAGCTGGAAAATGCTGCCAGGTGTTAAAAGTGGGCTTAAGCGATCAGGCTGTGCCTTTTCTGCCAAGACAGACAGCTATTAGCTGGTTTATTCAGCTGGGAGACAGCCAGTGGCTTCTCTCCAGATTCCAGAGTCCTAAATATCGAGGTTTGGATCCAGAGCCACATCCTCGTGTTTCAGGAATTACTGGTTACCAGCACATTACACTGGTAATCATTTTGCTGTGGCTTAAATGGGCTTTTTCTTTTTTCCAGCTGCAGGAGGAAACCTGGGGGCAGGAGCTGAAGTAAGTAAAGTGGACAGGAATTAGTGGTTGGTGGACAGGAATCGGTGGTTGGAAATGAAGAGCTCCAAGCTCAGCTCTGTGGCCAATTATCTACTCACTGGTTTGGTCCTGGGAAGGCAGGAGACAACAAAATGGAGAATTAATAATATGAGAAGAATATGAATATGTGTAATATTACATCAGAATAATGAGATTTCTGTGTCTTATGGAAAAGAAACTCCCTTGACCTTAATTTGTAAGGGCTGGCTCTTGGCAGCTCCTAAGGGCAGAATGAGCAGCTTGCAGCTGCTAAATACCTGATTTCACATTGAGACAGGGCCATGTGCTCTGTGGGATGGAAAGTTAGGGCACCTCTCAGGGGCTCTTGACTTTTAAGTGCTATTTAGAGAAGGAGACATTTGAAAACCCGAGAGCGTCACAGGCCGGAAAAAACACTCGTCCCAAAGTGATGGTACCTGTCTGAGGAGCCCTCCTGCTGCTTCCCTTCGGATATAACTTTTAAACTGAGTTTCTCTGGTTTTTTTCCCCGTCAGGCCTCTCTGAGGGTGTGCCCCCTGTGTGGGGAGCTGTTCCCTCGGGACGTGGAGAGCAGCCAGTACGAGGCCCACGTGCAGAGTCACCTCCTCGACTGTCCCATGTGCACAGAGAGCTTCGAGAACAAGCAGGTCTTTGAGGACCACCTGCTCTGCCACAGGCTGGAATAAATCTGAGTTCCTGCCTCTCTGCAGAAGAGGGGAGAACAGCCCAAAATCCCTGTGCAGGCTCCACTCGTGCTGAGCTCCCCCGGGACTGTCACTCTGAGCTCCCTGGTCCAGCCAGCACATGAATCAGGGCAAACACCCACATCCTGCAGCTGGGTCACCCTCAGCAAACTCAACCCCTGCCTTGGGCAAAGTCTGTCTGCTTGTTAAACAACTTACAACTCCTACAATTAGTAATTTAGTTGACTAAGTAACGGGGACCCAGGTGATGGGACATAGAACTGCAGTTTTCTGTGCTTGGCTGATACACCTCCCATGTAATTATTCTTTATTTTAGCATTCTGATGGGTAACCAAAGACCAGAAGCATTTTATAGAACCTCTCAGGATCACACTTCCAGCTTCTGGAATGCAGAATTAACAAGGGAAAATCTGAATAAAAATACATCTTCTTTCACCCTGCAAAGCAGGTGAGAGATATTTATAAAGAGGTGGAATTTCTGTTTGCACTCAAAGTCTGGGGCTGCTCTTCCAGCAGAGGGGACAGAATGACTCGTTGGAGGGTGAGAATCCTGCCCTCACCACTCCAGGATGAGGAAAACCTGGAATTTCTGGCCAGGGAAGGTCAGTGTGGCGTGGAACCCACAGGGGAGCAGTGGCTGAGGATAAATGACCTCTCAGCAGAACCTCATTGATTCTGGATGATTTTTATGTATTTCTGAGCCTTCTTGATTTACCAAGAAGAGCCTGTTCTTAAACCAAACCGTTGGGAATCACAGCTAAGTGCCTTGGGACGTTCCAATGCTTTGTGCACACCTCAGCCAGTGACTGTTTTTATTTCTGCTTCAGCATTTTCAGTTTATGATTAACAGCCCTTTTTTTCCATGCAAACACAGATGGGTAAAGGTTTATTATCCAGCTGTATCACACTGTGCTTCCTGCTGGGTATCCGAAGCAATAGAAAAATCCTAAGGAGTTTACATAGAGGCTTAAAAATATTTAGAGTAACAACAATGTTTTCTTGCTTCAATTCTACACAACCTTTTTATCAGGCTGGATTTAAACAGAGTATTTCTGCCTTGAGATGTCTGATGCTGGTGAGCTTTCTTTATTTAACAGCCTGTAACAGGAAATAACCAGGAAGAAAAATAAAAGCTGTATGAAAAAATAACCTTTGAAAAAGATGTCGGTGTCTGTTCATCCTTGAAGGAATAAATTAAATTGGAGGAATTGCTGGGCTCTTCGGGGAGCTCTTTGCAGCCTTTCAATTACCTGCTGAAGCTTCTGGATAACAAAGTACTTAAAAGCACTTGTGAATAACTTGGTGGTGTCCCCTGAGGGCGCTGGTTGATCCTCACAACTTGGGAATGTATCAGGAAGGCCAAGGAAGGGTGTGGGATAACAAACCAGGAGAGTGAAATGAGCTCTTTGGGATCTATTTATTTATATCCTTTCCAGTGGTGCTGATGTAAAAACCTGGAGCTGGATGAACTCCTCCCTCAGAACCGTGGGATTGTTAAGGTTGGAAAAGACCTTTAAGGTCATCAAGTCCAACCATCAGAGGAATGTCCAGCACGTCAACACCTCTTTCTCTAGACCAGGAGGAAAGACCTGAAAACCTCCTTGGGATGATAAAATATTATTTTAAAAATACTTGCTATTGTGCATGTTTTGCCATTATTATTATTGTTATTGTTATTATTGTTATTATTATTACTACTATACTAAATCTCAATATTCCTGGCATAGCTCTTTCCCAGTTTTGACAATTAAACAATCAAAATGAGGGTCATTTGTCCCATATTTTGCCAAGAGAACACTTCCCCCCCCCCCAACATTTTCCTGCACATCCTCACCCTAAATTCCATTTTCCTTCTTTCACCGCTTTGCAGCGGGACAGGGCGAACCTGGAGAGACACAAAAGCAGTTTTTACTGAAACCCTGCTGGTTCAGCCCAGTTCTGAGCCCTCTTCCCTTCCTTCCCCGCTCTCCGTGTCCCCGAGCCAGCGGTTCCACTGTCCGTGCCCTGGAATTGCCTCCCCAGCCCTTTCCCGCCGCTCCCTGGGTTTCCCAGCGGCCTTTTCCCGTCATTTATGCGGATTCCGGTGCCCGGGCTGAGCTGCCGGCGCTGGGACAGAGGCCGGTGACCGGCAGAGGGGGTCAGACCGCCATAAATCTCACAGAGACGCCGGGTTTTGAAGCATTTTAAGCCCTACCATTAATTTTTCTGCAATAATGACCCAGATTTCCCACTCCCAGCCATCCCCTCTGGCCTGAGCCGGGTCACACCTTCCCCACCCCGGGCAGCCAGGGACCAGTTTACCCCCGAGCACAAATTACATCATATATTTCCTGAGCAAGTTTTCATTTTGCCTGCGATTTACGGCATTATTTATGTTACCACTGCATTTAGCCTTTGGAATCAGGAGAGGTTTCAATCCTCTCTCGGTTTTATGGCTTAATACAGAAGTAGCTGGAATGGCTGATAATTAGATATAGTTATATTTTGGATGAGATCCAGGATTACATTGGTATGTGCTGGACAAGGACCTGGAGATAAATTTTCAGGAGGGGCAGTGGGGGTTTGGCACCATTTATACCCCAAGCCAGGGAACATCTGAGCAGTGAATTCATCAGGAATGGATCTCAAAGGAAGATCTCACACTCTGTGGGCAAAATCCCTGGAATGTACATCATTTTCATGGAATATCCCAGGTTGGAAGGGACTTGGAGCAACCTGGGCTAGTGGAAGGTGTCCCTGCCCGTGGCAGGGGGTGGAACTGGATGATTTTAAAGCCCCTTCCAAGCCAAACCATTCCATGATTCAGGGATTTTATGATCCAGGAAAACACACTGGGCCTGAGAGAGCTCCTTCTGCTCCTCCTTCCCTTTCCAAGAAGTTGGTTCTTCCCTTGGGTTTTCTCTCCCAGTCACCCAGAGGATATTTTAAATCCATCTGTCCCTGTCCAGGGCACGTCACTCCCAATGAATCCGTTTCTGTGGGTGTAAAACACAAACTGTTTCAGCCCTGACAGCCAGAGGGTCTGAAGGGATGCTGGAACAGCCTGTGGTGGCTCAGCTTCCTTCAGGAGTGATTCCCAGGGAATAAACCACCCTGAGGTGAACAAAGGAGGGACAGGAGAACACAGGTGGGGTGGTTGTCCTCAACACTCAATGGGTCAGTTGGATTTTAAGGCACAGCAGAATCAATAATCCTACAGGGCAGCACAACACACATCTGGGGTTTAAAATCATCCGAATCCTCATTTTGGGGA